AAAATAAAGCAATGAACACATGCAATTTATGAAAAGCTTTAGAAAACAGTAAAAACAACTTAGTTTGTTAAAGGGAATGCAGTAACAAACTCAACTTTACTCATATAATAAAATAAGATAGTTTCTGTGGGAGATTCTCTAACCGACAACCACCACTATGAGGCTAAGTGGTGATACAGCGTCTTGCCTACCCTGCCAGAACTGTTCTATACTTTGCCGTCATATAGAACGCTTAACTTAGTGGATCCACTAGCTTAACTTATGTGATCATCTAAAAAGTATGACCCATTAATACCCATGATGGCTACATGGTTTATGGAGATTTGAGTTAATATGAACTCGCATCCCCATATCGATCTCAATACTACTCCCAAAAATATACTTAGCTCATATGTTTTTAAAACAACTTTTTTCTTTGGTTTGAGGTAATTACTCAAAACTTAGCCTAAAAGCTCTCTTGGAATCGATGTTCCCTTTTCTTACTCAATTGTGAAAACAATTATAAACTCTTTGGGAATACTTAATTCCCTTATAGCTTTTTGAGAAATGAACTCATCTCTTTACTCTTTGCTTAACTTGAAACTTTAGTCTTAAAACAAAGTTAAAACGTTTGTTAAAGACTTTTGTAAACTTTAAAAAAAACTTTGCTTTGACTTGCTTCTTAACTTCTAGACTTGACTTCTCTTGACTTTGATCCTAACTTTCTTTGAATTGGATTATGGATTCAAGGTTCATGATCTCATGTTTATGGATGATTTAATGATGTTTAGTTGTACCTTAGAGTGTTGGAATCGACTAGAAAACATAGGTACATTGCTAAGGAACAAGTACGTAAAGGTGGGGAACGAATGGGGAGAACTAGCGTCCCTGGCGCTCTGAGAGGCGTAGGGCGCCAGCCCTCAAAGTTCAGAGAACTTTCTGTGGCGTTTTGGCTGGCATGACGCACCAGAGGGCAAAGTTCAGAGGAACTTTTGTGGCGCTCTGGCAAGCGCAGCCCCCCAAGCCCTTGCCCAAAAAATCTCCGATTTTTCTCCTTCGTTTTTCATCTCCAAACCCTCTAAAATTCAATATACAATAGATTCAACTCGAAATTACACCCGGAACCATGAATCAAATCATCAAGAAAACTCAACAACACAACCCTCAAAAATTCAACGAAACTTTCAACAATGCATCAAGAACTCAAAGGATTTACTTTCAAATCAAACATATTTTGCTGAATTGAATCATGTTTGGAGTGTGGATGAACTAGCCCAACGCTATGTGATCTCACATACTTGGTAGGAATAAATCCTTGGCGAAAACCACAACTAAATGGATCGATCTTGATGAATCTTGCCCTTTCTTCTTCTTTCTCCTCTTTTCTCCTTTCTCCAAGCCCTAGCGTAAATTTCCAATTTCTGAAACTGACTAAAATCTGATTTGACCCATATTAAACTCCTGAAAACGGATTAAAATAATAGGGGCAAGGAAAAGACTAAAATACCCCTTAAAAATCCGGATTGGACATTTCCTTATTCCAACAGCCCAACTTCTGAAGGGCATAACTTACTTATACGAATTCAAAATCGTGCAAACTTGGCGGCTTTGGAAAGATCATTTCAAGAGCTTTCCAACCATATCTGGAAGTAGTCCTAATGCATTCTGAGCTAGGAGTTATGGCTGTTTGAATTTGACCAAAAACTCACTTTTCCTAACTTAAACAAATTTCCAGATTTGTCACTATTTCCAAAAATGATTATTTCAAGTTCTTAGCTTCTTCCTAGCTATTTCAAATTGCGAGATGTTACAAAATCGTAGTTCAGCCTATCAAATCACGGGTTAGGCCAGGCCGGCCCAACGGGCCTACCCATATTGACGGCTCTACTTATCAATATAATTAATGATTTTAATTTATGTAAGATTTTTCAAATGAAGGTTTGTATCTAGTTCAAAAACAACAATATCAAAATATTCAACAAAGTAACAAGTCAACTAGAGTGCGAGATACACATTGTTCTCTAAAAATGAAAAATTGAAGAAAAAATCTCAAAATTCTGGAGAAAAATAAATGGAAGAAATTTGAATTTTTTAGAAGTTATTAGAATAGATATACTCAAAAGTTGTTAAAGGAGTGATTTACTCCTTAAATTAAGCATTTTAGTTACAATCCTTCATTAAATATGTATCCTGCTTTGTTATTTCCTCGGATACATGTATATGTCGGGTTAAAATATATGTATCCAACCAATGAAATGTGGTACAAAAAGTAATATTTGAAACTATCGTGAAACTAGTAATTAGGACCTAAACTAGTGGAATTTATGTTGTTTGCTAGATAAAATATTTACAAATGCTACAAGCCCTAATTTAATATAATATATCTAAACAACAAAAACCATAAGCTAATTTAAAATATATTAACAAGGTAGATTACAATTAATTTTGTTTTTATGTATAACCAAATTTAGATTATATATATATATTAGGTTACATGTATTGCAACCTTGATGCTCAATTTTGTTCTCCCGCACACCCACTTTTGCAAGGCTGGCTGGGGGAGAAGTGATTTTTGGGGTTTGATTTGCCTAGATAGAAAGTGTGTTTGCAGTGCTTTAAGTAACTATTTTGAAGTGCAATATATTTTTGTCGGCTTAAAAGCTAGGGCTTGTGGTTCATTATATTAGAGAGATATAACCTCATTGTCCCTTCTCAATGTCCGGGTCTTCCCCTCTGGATGTAGTGTCTTTCACTCTTCAACACTTTATCGCAATGCCGAAAGGTAGGATTTCTGATCTTTTAGGAAAAGGATATCGAATGATCAATTCACCATTGAGAACATTAACCCCAAAAAGAAAAATATTGTGGTGTTCTAATAACGATATTATCCCTTCTATCTTTCAAGAATTTCATATATATATATATATATATATTATGTCGGATTGATTTTTTTTTCTGTAAATCAAAGCGGTTGAGTTTTTTTCAACGCCAAATCAAATCACAAGTCGGGCTTTTTAAAATAAAATTGATTTGGTGTATCGGTTCGATTTGACTTGTCAATTGGCATGTACACCCCTAGGCGAAATATGCAGGGACAATTTGAACATCCTTCAATTAAAAAAATACTCTTTCCATTCACTTTTACTTGTCCATTATTTCAAAATAGATCTTTCAGCTAATTATAATTGTAGACCTCACGTGGCTAACAAAATCCATCATTATTGTCTTCTTAATTTGTTAGCTCCAAAGAGAAACTCCATGAAATCTGATATCATTTTCACTATTTTCTCTTTAGTAAACAGAAATGGATATTAGGTTAGTAAATAATATTTCAGGAAAGAGAAAATAGTAAATTCTCTATTGGAGAAAGTATAGAAAATGGTATTAGATTTTATGGAGTTTTTTCTTTGGACTTAACAAAAAAGATAACAATGGTGGATTTTGCAATGCACGTACGGTCTATGGTTAAAATTAACACTTCTTTTTATATTACTAGGATTAAGATAAAGGACCAAAATGAACATTTTTTTTTGTACATTAAGGACCATTTCAATCAAGTGAAATATATTAAGGACCAAAACGAACATCTTTGTTATACATTAAGGACCATTTCAATGAAGTGAAATATATTAAGGATATAAAACATTACCCATACATTAATATCCATTTTGGTCATTTTCTCTTTAAAAAGTATTAAAAGTTCTAAAAAAAAATTACTACAAGAACTCAATTCTAACCCACCTAAACAAACACACATACAAATTATTTTTTGATAGATCTAGGATCCTTCCGAGTCTTTACCATTTGCTCACTTATACACTGTCACAAATATTGTATAACAATATATATTTTCAGTGTATATACAATATATATTGATTATACACAAAGTATACATTGGTTATTAAGGTCCAAAGTGTATATTCGATGTAACTAATGTATATTCTTTTGAATATCAATGTTATATATTATACAATGTATATACATCTTGTATAATATATAACATTGATATTCAAAAGAATATACATTCTACCTCTAAGGTAGTGATAAGGTCTGCATACATTTTATCCAAACCCCACTGTATGGAATTACACTGGATTTTTTGTTGTTTTTGTTGTTGAATCTATATAAATCTCCTATACAAAAATCATTAAAACCAAAGGATCGGGAGAAGGAGGAGGAGAAGATTCACTTCTTCACACAAAAAGACACAATTCAAACTAAAATGGTTGAGCTAAGACCTTCATACTCCTCCAACAAGCACCATTAAATTATCAGCAACATTTATAGTGTATATAAAATGTATATACATAGTATACACATTCATTATTCAATACATATACATTTTATACATTTGCAAGGTCACTACAAAAACTTTGGCATTACAATATGTAATTGTAAAGCAATTTCCTTTATTCTGTCCACATTTACAATAACTTGACCTACAATATGTAATTGTTCTAATATTTCCACCCTTTAAATAATGAGTATGGATCTTAAAACCTAAAGTTTGTCCTTCTTCTTTGTAATGGCTCAAAGCAACTTGCTAATTTATTGTTTCTTTATTCCATTGTTCAAATTGAATGATGTTTAGGTCTCCAATGAACTTGATTTGCATAGTGTCCCATGCTATTTAGCATATCCATTGGTATCACTCCATAGGTAGTTCCTATATATATATATATATATATATATATATATATATATATATATATTGGTTATTAACTTGGACACATTTTAAGGAAGAAGGAATACCAATCTATCTACCTTCATGAGGTAGTGGTAAGGTTTGCGTACATCGTACCCTCCTCAAACCTCACTTGTGAGATTTCACTGGATATATTGTTGTTGTTATCTACATTTCAAACACGTAAGGAGACAAAATCTCCTTGCTTAAGTCCTTTTATGAAATTACAAACTTGGAATTGAAATTCTACCTTTTAAGTGAGTTCGAGATATGAAAACAATTGTTCAAATATCATAAAGAGACACAAATTTCAAATCAAAACTTCAAATTTAAAGGTCATATAAAAGGGGAAATGAAATACAATAATTAATAATATGTCATACAAAATTCTCAACTCTGCTTACTACTTATCACACTTTCTGCATTATGATTATAACAACTATGTCTTCCTTCTAGCCATTGATGTAGAATTTCCATCGAAAAAATCGTCGATCAATATTTCAATATCCTCTGGTTGATACTTTATATACTTCTCTGCTTGCTTTGCATTATCCAAATACTGTCGAAATCTCCCAAAAAATGATCTATAAGCAGGAATCACCAATGCAGATATCGAAACTCGAAGCTCTGATTGAAGTTGTTCATCACTCACAACCCAAGTACTCTGACTCCTATGTATTTCATCGAAAATCGCGTTGAAATTCTTGAACCTCTCTTTAACTGTTGTTTTCGCCACTTTCCCGTGTACTTGCATTCCATCATGTGTTAGGATTTGAAGTACTTTACCAAATGTCTCCCTTTGATAGTTCTTGTGGTAATGTCTAACGATCGTTGATCGTCTCCTACACCACGTATCGCCCATCACTTGATGTATCTCCGCGGAACCTTTCACTTTTTGTAAAATGTACCTACCATTGTTCATTAGAAAAATATCGCGTAAAGCAGGGTCTCTGTAAAGGTTTGATTTTGCTTCAAGATTCGTGTCAAGAAGGTCCATTATCGTCACGAGCTGTATTGAAAATGGCGTTGTCTCGGAGTTACAATGTGGGCTATCGTTCTCTGCTTCTACCTCCAATGTTGGCTTCAATTTGGCAGGGGAATTGGAATTGGAATTGGATTCTTCGAATTTTACGTGTTGATGGAAGATGTGCTCTAGGGTGATTTTGTATTCACAAGCATATTTTAAATAATTCATGACGTAACGCGTTAGGGGGTGCACTGCCCCACCAGGGACGGGTGTCCTTGCAACGTCGTTCTTTATGGAATTTTCGAGATCACTAAATATACTTACAGCTGATTCACCTAACCTGTCTATTGTAGCTTGAATCTCTGAATTCAATTCGTTCTCACATTCATTTGAGGGCGAGTTTTTTATGGATGGAATGAGATCACGCAAGGCTTCATACATGTCTAGGTATTTGAAGAGTTTCTCCGCGGAGCGTTTGGTCATAGTTACAGCCTCAGCAAAGTCGAGAAGCTGAATGACAATTGCGCGAGCCAGGTTGCTAAATAGGGTTTGAGAATTCATTGGAGACTCAGAGAAAACAGAGTCCCCGAGTCTCTTTTCACCGGGGAACAGAGTTGTTGAGCAACTTTTAACAGCTCTGATCCACCGTGTGATCTCTCCTTCTAAAGAATCCCATTGCATTCTTTGAACATCCTCCATGTTGATCTTCTCGAATTCGAGCTTCTTCATTTGTTCAACACATGCATTTCCCCTCGTAATAGAGTACACTTGACAACATTCTGTTTCATAGCCTGCCATGATCATGGTAGAGGCTATTCGGTTCATTCTTGTCACCGTGTCAGGAGGAAATGACGGATATTCCTCCTCTCCACTCGAGTCCGAAAGAGTTAAACTACATTGTTCCCCATCTACTAATAGCCTGTTTGAATTGAAGGAAGAGTTTTTATAAACTTTAACATGACTTGAAGAAGAATCTTCTAACAAGGCTCTCAAATCCTCTTCCATTAACGTCATGGCCCGTTGTAGGACCATGCTCGTTCTGTTCAACGACCTAGTGGTCGTTGAACCTGAAGGAAATTCACTCAAGGAATTAGTCAATTTGGATAAACGTGACACTGCTTCAACGAAAAAGTTGTCCTCCTCCGTCATCTTGCATAATCTTGTGGACGAATTTTCACAAGTATTATGCTTACTGATTTTCGACTCAATGATTTTTGAGAATGTCTCAATGATTTCAGGGACTTCAGGGGGATTTGATTTATCATGACATGTGGAAAGTTCATTGATGAATCGATCAATATCATCCGATAACTTCTTGACATCCTCATTGTGATGATTCAAGGAGTGATCCAATTCTTCCTGGCTGCTTTTTCGCGAATGTGGATCAGTTGACGTGGTCGGATGAGGTGGTTTCGGGCTGCCCGTGAAGCTACCATTTTTATCTAGGTGATTCTTCACCATTTTCGCTATAACGAAATTTCTAGATCAAGTCAATAGATTGAAAAAATAATAATGTTAAGTGATGAAAAAATGAGAGGAATGAACAAAATTGATTGATTGAGAATGATGAAATGATGATGTTTAATTTTTGTGATAGAACGAGTTTATGGGAACAATTGGTTGGTACAAGTTGACAATTGACCCGGTTGACAAGTTTTAGTTAGATAATTGTGCTTCACACGACTTTACCTTTTGTGTTAGCAATGATTGGATTGCATTTTCTTAGTAATGGTTGCCCACTACTTACTAGTCCACTTGGTAGTGGGATGGTAAACATATCTTCATTCTTAATTAGACGTTTCAGATTCGAATAATGATGATGAAATTAGGATAGGAAGGGAGTTATAACAACCGAACCTCGTGTTTTGAGTATTTATAAACTTTGGTATAAAACTTGTTGGATGGTTTGAGATGAGACTCTAGGGGTTTGGACGTGTGTTGGATCGGTTTTAAGTTGATGCGACTGAGATTGCGGAGATGAGAGACTTGACTAGCGTCATGATAGCGAGGTCATGAACCGTGATCCCTAGAGATGTTCACAAGTCAATGTATGTGATTAGGTGTGGCGAAATCAAATTCAATATGTATAATCCGTCAGAATCGTTCATGTTTGAGCGGATTATTGACCCGATCATTTATTAGATCGACTCATTTCACCCCATTAAGAATTGGGTTGATATGCGGTCTGAATTGACTCGAGAGAAATTTTGTCAAAATATTTATTTAATTTAATATGTTATATATAGCCATAATAAAGAAAAATAATAATTTTTTTAGCTATTAAAAAATTATGTAAAAAAACAAACACAACAACAAAAATTTAGTAATAATTGAGCGGGTTGAATTTATGACTCACCTTTAGCCCATTTAAACTCAACTCAATTAGACTTTGGGCAGGTCAATAATGGCCTATTTAAACTTAATGCATTTCAACCCAATTAGCTCTGGGCAGGTCAATAAACAGCCCATTTAAACTTAATGCATTTCAGCCCAATTAGCTTTTGCACATGTCAATAACCCGCCCATTTATTAACTTAGCTAATTTAACCTGCCCAAATTCAGCTCAACCCGCTCATTTGACATATCTATTTGTGATCGTAAGGGTTGTACCTTGAAAGTCATGAAGACTTTGACCAACTCGGGTACGAAGAGATGATTTGCAAAGAAGCCTAGGTCATCGATGATCGCAATCATGTTGAAACTTTGAATTTTTAAAAATCAATTTTTGCAAGAAATCAAATTTTGTTCTTGAGTTTTGGGACTTCTATGTAAGGGTGCACATCGATCGATTCAGTCTACTTTTATATATTATTGGGGTTTAACGGTTTTCGATTTGTGAACATGCTAAATCAATAACCAAATGAATAAGATTTATTATCGATTCTCACTTGATCGTTTTTGGTCCTTAACGATTTTGCTTTCGATTTAACAGATAAAAAAATGTTCATATAATCATATATACACATGTTCATAAAATAAAAATTGTAGCAAGACTCATGCAATAAACTGCAGAAACAACGTTAACTGACTATCTTTATCACAATCAAAATCTAAAATTAAAAAGAGAGAAGGTAATACTAGTTTGTGTCAAAAAGATAGATGGTGTCGCTATATACTTAGGAGTAAAACAGTAATTTTAATATAATTTTATTAGGTTATCGGTTTAACCATTAACCAAAATCATAAAATCGAAGATCGATCCGATAACCGACTAAATAAAATTACAAAACTGTTAACCCAATAGTATTTTTTAACCATTAATCAAAATCATAAAATCAAAAATATAACTCACTAAATAATATTACAATACTATTAACCCGATAATATATTTTTAGGTGCAATTTATCGGTTAAATTGATTTTTGCACACCCCACTTCTTTGTCACATGGTTTATACCGTTTTAGTGAAAATGATCACGAATCAATGAGGTTACAAAACTTTTTTTTGGATTATTTACATGATTTAATTCGAGCTTTTACCTTCAAAGTTTTTGGGACTTCAATCCCAAAATCCCTTATTTGCAATGAATTTTAAAGTAATAGAACATAAATTTCAATCACAAATAAATATGAAGAAACCTGATTTTATTTTATTGATAAATAGTACAGTTATAATTTTGTTCCTCTCTTAGTTCTTCTCTCTAAATTTTATAGGAAGATTTGGATTTGATCTCACTTGTGGATCTTCTTGAAGTATTTTGATTGTCAAGAAGATTATGACATATATTGATCTGTTTATGAGTATTTCAAGATTTTATGAAATATTCGAGATGCATTTTGAAGAGAATATAATACCTTTATACATGCATAATTTAGGGTTTAAGGTAGAATAATCCTAACTGAAATCGAATATATCTTGTAGAATCCAATTAGAATTGAACACGTCTTATAGAGTCTCATAAAATTTCAATTTCTACCCCTCCAAGTCTCCAACTAAGCAAAATGAGGATTTGAGTGATAAAGTAAACTCCAATTAAGAATCTAAAGATAAATTTCTCTCTTCACCATTGATATAAAAATTACAAGTAGAAATTAATATTCCACTCTACAGCAAAATATTAAAACTAACCTATTTATAATAATATAAAATAAAGAGTGACCTGCTTAAACAAACTGGTTCTATGGTGTAGTGGTTAGCACTCTGGACTTTGAATCCAGCGACCTGGGTTCGACTCCCGGTAGGACCTTTTTTTTTTTTTTTTTTTTCCTCTTCTCATTTTATTCCCTTCTTGAAAAAATTATCTAAATACACAACTTATTTTATCATATTTTCTAAAATTTCCTATCATTTGAAAATATTACAAAAATCCTTACTCTCTCCTATTCTCGGATACATCACTATACGCGATGTATCAGGACATTAAACGATGTATTCAAAATCAGGATGTGATACGTTGGAAGGTTTTTGAATGTACCCGGATTCCACCAAATGTAAGAGATTTTTATAAAAAATAAAATAAAAAAAGGATAGAGATAGGATGTAATTAGCTCTTAACACTACGAAATTTGTGTAAAATTCTCCAAGTTGCACAAATTATGAGTATGTCCCACTCGGTCAAACTTATTTATTAATATGACCGAAATATACAAAATTGATACACTAATTACGTACATCAATATTTAAATATACAAATTTATACATATACTATTTCTCGAGCAAATGTATAGGTTTGTATATGTCTGCGCTCCTTACATATCGTATATATTAAGACAAATACGAAACGACATGCTAATAACAACGGATATAAATGATCTAAAATTTTAACGATAGCAAAATTATGCACTATCGAAAAAGTATTGGGACAAATATGGACCCTCTCCCAAATACTTGTCTATATATGTTTAAGTTGTTTCGAGAAAGTGTAGGAAAAGTCTATGTAAGTATTTGTGCATCTATCATGTGTCAATTCTGGACTCTTCTAGTAAAGTCAGTGATCTATCTCCACGGTTATTTACGACACTGATTCAATATATATTTATTTTTTTAAAATTTATGTCATACATATTAAATTTAAAGTCAATTTAATTTTATAAGTTTTTTTAAAATATTTTAAAAATTTTAATTATTATAATTTTTAATTTTAATAATATATATTACTTCTTTATGTTAACACAAATGAAATATTAAGAGGCAACCAATATTATTTTTTAAAATTATTTTATGATTTATAATATTTTTTACGTTATTTTTAAATATATAATAAACTGAAAAAATAATAACATAATATGGTAAATTTCTTTGAAGCCTACCCCACCTATCGGAAAGAGCAGAGATATATATAGTATCCTTTTTTGTCAAAAAAATAAATAAATACACACAATATAACATTTAGTACAAAATAATTCAAACATTTTAATTATAAAGTAAAAAAAGTCTTTAAATGACAACATTACCCTTTAAATCAAAGTCAATTTCAAGGAGCTCACATATTGTCCAATACACGTGTAATTCAAGCCACAATTTTTTTTTAATTTAGTGTTTGGACTCTGTATTAAAGCTTCAATTATATTTAGATTATGTATTACGAGACTTATTTGAGGATAATTCTTTAACAAAATTTTCTCCATATCTAAAACTTAAGCCTAAAGTCTCTAATTAAAAGTGAAGTTATCTCGCCACGTTAGCCGTGAATAAAAAAGAAAAGTGAAGAGGGAAAAACTCCAACACGTACACGTTTAGTGGGTATAAATACAAGACACGGTTTTTGACTTTTACTTTTAATTAATTTTGAAGTAAAGGTTTGTGTAATCCTTTAAATACTCACCATAAACAACAACCCTCTCTTTGTCCATTTCATACATTTTAACAACAGCAATAACCTCATTATCTCCAAAACAACAAAAACAAAAACAAAAACAAAATCAAAACAAAAAAAAAAAATGGCTCTCAAGGCAATTCCAATTTCTCAAGTTGTTCCTCAAATTGATGAAATTCATGTTGAAAATGTCACATTCCCTTCGCTCTACAATAATAATTCTACACCTCTTTCCCATGGTAAGTAATCACCCCTCGTATTTAAGGTTCGATTAAGTTTGAATTTGTATCGAGAAATTTCATGATTAGATATTAAATGTCTCTATAGTTAGAATGATTCAAACATGATATTTCTGATTAATTACGATAAATGATTTTTATATTAAGTCTGACTAAATTTATATTCGCGCCTCGCAGGGGAAGATGAGCATGATGTTGGGAAGATGAATAATAATAATAAGTTTGTAGTAATGGGACATAGAGGAAGTGGGACAAATATGTTGCAATATTCTTCATGTCATGAAAAAACAATAAAAGAGAATACTTTGCGTTCCTTCAATGAAGCTGCTAAATTCAACCTTCAATTTATCGAATTTGATGTTCAGGTTAGACAATAACTCCCAAATTCATTTTTTTTAGACGCTCTTCTAAACCACTTTATTTGTCACATTTTTTATTTATACGTCACTTAAGAACTATATGTTTTGACTATGATAATT